ATATATTATTTATAAAAAATTAGAGAATTAAGTCAAAGACTCTAGAGAATACACATTCCATATGGACAGATTAAAATGTACAATAGTTTCAAAAAATCCATAAAGTTTTCTACACAGTGATGTGTGTAGTAAGTGCAAAAATACTGCAGTTTAGTTAATCCAAGATTTCCTGTTTTCCTGTTTCCTAGAAAAAGCAGAAGCCGCTGCATCTCCTGAATGGCAGAAGACTTCTCCTGTTTTAGGGGTGGGTGATGAGCCTTGAAGCACAGAGCTTTTCCGTTTCTCTGAAGTGGAAGATGCCTGAGACCGTGAAGTGCTACTCCATTTCCTTGCAGAAGCTGGTGCTTTGCTGAGGCGCCCAGGACGAACAAAGACACCATGCCGTGGTTTGCAGTGGAAGTACTCTCTGCCTTTTACAGTTCCATCATGCTTCCCTTCAATGAAAATACATGCACCAAATTAATTGTTGGTACTTTCATTAGCACATACAATTGTAGTGTTCAAGTGTGAATATCTTTGGCTATCTGTTAAATAGTCAAGATTTTTAATGCTTGCGTGATGAAGCCAGATGCATAGCACACACTAGGGAGAACAAAGGCTGGAAAGGAGGACTTGAACTGTGACCAAAAAGATGGTTTCCTAAAATGTTACTTTGTTAACTGACTGTTTAAAAAGTCAAACATTTGTTCATTTTACAAAATAAACTATCCTCAAAACCAATTGCTTACAAAGCTTAAAATATAGCTGCCAGAGAAATTTCCAGTATCAATGTTAATATCTATTAAACTACTAAAAACATCAACTTTTAAAAAAAAAATCTCAAGCATTTCTGTAGGAATCTCTTAACACTTGCAGAGCATCAACTTTTTCTGACTCCATCGAACTGAAGTTAAAGAAAACCTGTGCTTCTGTAATTAAGCTTTTCCCCAGTGGAGGCAAGGGGAATCTCTGAAAGCTACAGACAGCAAACCTATTTTACAAGTGATGTCCATTGTTAGTACTACCCATGAACATACATGTCGATTTAAAAAAAAATCTGCCAATTTTAGGCTTTGCTTCTTTTACTCATCTATAAAAATAGATGGATACTGCTGGGAACTACCAGAACATGAAAAGCATTATTCTGCATAAAGTGAAAAGAACAGGTCTTTAAGACAGTTAAAAATTAACCCTTAGCAAAGTATTCCTACAAACAGAAAGCCTAGAACTGGGTGTATCAGAATCCAAGCCTACATGAAATTAGAGGTATTTCCCAAGACTGAACAGTGTACGACTGCAGTTTAACTCTAAAAACAGATCACACTAACTGCATAGATAACCCAGAGCATATTTAGTCTTACCCAGCTGAACATTTAGTTCAACTCCAACCCAGATTCCAGCTGAAAAATCCACTGTTCCAACGTATCTCACCGTGCCCATCTTATTACTTCCAACACAGACTTGTTCGCCCACTGCCACCCAGCTAGGCAAGAGGTGGGTTTGATCTGCAGAAGCACCTTCTTCACAATCGGAAGCATCCAAGTGGTCTTTCCCAAGAAAATCATCTACAGAAGTATCAGGGTAAGTCTCACGGCCTGAAGTCTCTTTTACCAGTAGAGAACACAAAGGGCTTTCCACAGCACCTGCAAGCCGGTCACCTGCTGCCACTGCCGAGCCCAGCTGGCCCAGGCACGTGCTCTGCTCCTTGTCTGTGCCTTGGGGTAACTCCAAGGAACTCACTCCATTAGAGGACGCAAGGGAACACGACTGTGGAGCTGTCGAGTGCTCAAAGTCCTTTCCATCTTCGACGCCCATGAACTCTGTAAAGGAGTGATCTTCCAGAATGTCTGTCATGTGCTCAACTGTTGCTTCACGCGCTGAAAATTCAATCAAACCACAGGTATTTTTGCCATCTGGGGAACTTAAAGCTGAAAATGATCCAGCTCTGCATAACTGCTGAGTCTCTCTGTCAGTCTGTCTGGCATCGAGGGACAGTGGTACTTGTTCCGTTAAGGCACTGTTTTCTTTCAGTGGTAACACAAGTAACTTTTCTCTCGCTAACTCCTTTTCTGACTCTTGACAATCCTTGTTCGAAGAAGATCTTAAATCATGTACAAGAGATGATCCTGAGGGATCATTAGAGTCCAGCTCCTTCGTGTGATTGGCTAGCTGGTCTGTGCTATCACTACAGGGAACAAGCATGTCAGACAGAGTAGCGTTAGAGGCACTGTGGGAAAAGTAGCCACTAGTAATACTGCTAGTGGTGGGGCTGCGGGATACCTCTTTCTCAAGAACACGCGAACTCATGAAGTCTGATTTAGAAGAAAACCATTCCCTGTTCTCCAGGCTAGCATTGTAAACACTGAAGTCAGCAAACTCCTCTGGAATGTAAGGCCGGAAATTCTGAAAACTTTGTGGACTTATCAGCTTCTTATTAATGGCCTCCAACTCACTGTCTTCCTCCTCAGAGTCCTGCAAAAGAAGGGTGTTGCGTGGGATTAGGAACCTACGACAGTAACGTTTTCAAAATAGACTGACCTTCCTTGATTTTTTCCTTTCTGAACATGGAGAAACATATACCTTTTATATCCTTTAATTGAAGAATGGAAGATACCTCTGAAAAGAGCTGCTGGGAGCATGTCCTGTCTACACTGAGCTATTCAATTTTTAGAAAATAAAGATAAATTATAAATAGATTAGAAAATTGAAAGCAATAAAGTTTGGCAGAAGGACAGCTCACAACATAAAAAAATTGTATGTTTACATATTTTTATCATACTCAGTTTTTTAAAGGTATGTATTATAAACTTTTTCTTCCCATGATTTAGACTAGTTAAACCCACTGAAGGTATTCTATACCTTCAGATTATAGACATTGACCATTGACCACCTAACAAGAAAAACATAAATATGAATGGAAGAGGCCTTACGGGGTTCTCAGCTGCAATACTGAGTATTAACATACCAATTATTAACATATCGATTATTAAAAAGTATCCTGCACAACAGGATTTTCTATTAATCTGATACCAGTGAGGCTGTATAATTTTGTGTATGTATGTGTATTTTGTATATGTATTTCATATATACATATACATTTGTATATGTATTATGTGTATAATTTTGCTTACCCCTAGCTATCACACCTGAACACATTCACAATGTTTGAAAATAAAGGCAAAAGGATCAAATATTACAGAGAATCTTCAAGGAAGCATTTGTGTGCATACATGTACAGGCCTGGAGGAAAATAAGTGACACTAATCAATCTGGCAGAATTTGGAGGTAGCTCCCTGAATTTCTGTTTGACAGCGAGCGGTGATGCACTGCGACCAACCCACAAACGTGGCTTTCATAGAGCCCATCTGAAGCAGAGGACTTCAGTTTGCCAAGAGGCATCCAAGAAAAAACACAGCAACATGGCTGGACTGCCCCCCCAGTATAACATACTGCAGGCAGGACTCCACGTGGATGCTTTTTTAAGTACTTAATTTTTCATATAAATATATGTATTTATACATATATATGCATATATAAACGTATGTGTGTATATATATCTATCTGTACACACACATACATATTAAAAATGGTTAGTTTACAGCAAATTCGCCCTAGAAAGAATAGTATTTTCAGAAAAATGAAAACTGATGAAGTACTTAAAGTTTAGAGGAACTCAAGCACCTATTATTTCTCCATTCCTTTATCTGCATCACAGATTTCAACTACTGATCAAGGCAGATCCTGTGTGGTATCTGAAGTAGTTCGATGCTTTCAGACACCTGCCCTGAATCACTGATGGAAAAGGAAAAGCACAATACTTAACCAGATGACAAACGCATTGAGAACCAATACATCAAGTTTAAGACAAACATCCTCTTGAGAACGTTTCCTATACTTCATAATAACCAAGGCTGCTCAAGTAACTTTGTACAACAAAGCTTCAAATAGATAGACAGCAGTTTTGTTCAGTTTGCACGTCAGAACAGTCACAGAATCGTTTAGGTTGGAAGGCACCTCTTGAGGTCATTTAGTCCAAACGCCCCTGCTCAAGCAGGGTTAGCCAGAGCAGATTGTCCAGGACTGTGTCCAGCCGGGTGGCTTTTGAGATGTCCAAGGATGGAGACTCTACCACCTCTCTGCACAACCCATTCCCGTGTCTGACCACCCTCACAGTAAAAAAGCATTTTCTTGTGTTCAGACAGAATCTCATGTAGTTTAGTTTGTGTCCATTGCCTCACATCCTGTCACTGGGCACTACTGCGAAGAGCCTGCCTTGTCTTCAATCCCTCCCATCAGGCTTTTTTGTGCATTGGTAAGATGCCCCTGAGCCCGGTCTCCTCCAGGCTGAACAGTCCTGGCTTCCCCAGCCTCTCCTCACATGTCAGATGCTCCAAAGCCTTTAATCATCTTTGTAACCTGCACTGGACTCACTTCAGTAATTCTGTATCTTTCTTGTACTGGGGAGCCCAGAACTAGACAATACTCCAGATTTGGCCTCACTAGTGCAGAGTAGAGAGCAAGGACCACCTCCTTCAGCTTGCTGGTGATGTCCAGTACACTGTTGGTCTTCTCTGCCGCAAGGGTACATTGCTGGCTCATGGCTAGCTTGTTGTCCAAGAGGACCTCAAGGTACTTCCAGGCAAAGCTGCTCTCCAGCCGGTCAGCCCCCAATGTGTACTGGTGCCTGGCATTATTCATCCCCAGATGCAAGATGTTGCATTTCCCCTTGTTAAACTTCATGAGACTCCTCTTTGCTCAGCTCTCCAACTTGCTGAGGTCCCTGTGAATAGTAGCTCAACCCTTCAGTGTAACAGTTGCTTCTTCCAGTCTTCTATCATCTGCAGACTTGCTGAGGGTGCACTCTGTCCAATCATCTAGGTCATTAATGAAGGTGTAGAACAGTACTGGCCCCAGTATTGAGCCCTGGAGTACACTGTTGTTACCAGCCTCCAACAGCACTTTGTGCCTGATTGCAACCCTCTGTGCCCAGTCATTCAGCCAGTTTTTAATCCACTTCACTGTCCACCTATCTAACCTGTACTTGGTCAGCCCACCTATGATGATGTTATAGAAAATAGCGTCAAAGGTTTTACTAAAGTCAAGGTAAGCATCCACTGCTCTCTCCCCATCCACCAAGTTAGTCACCTTATTGTAGAAGGCAATTAAGGTTGGTCAAGCATGATCTTCCATCTGTAAATCCATGCTGACTACTCCCAATCGCTTTCTTGTCCTTCCTGGGTTTGGAAATGCTTTCTAGGAGGATTTTCTCCACCACCTTCCCAGAGACAGAAGTGAGGCTGACCAGTCTGTAGTTTGCTGCATCCTTCTTTGTCCTTCTTGAAGACGGGAGTGATATTTGGTCTCTTCCAGCCTTCAGGTACCTCTCCTAACTGCCATTACATTCGAAGATAATTGAGAATGGCCTTACAATAACATCAGTCACCTTCCTCAGCACTTGTGGGTATGTTTACTTAAACATGCAGTTTCTTTTAAGTGCTCCCCAAACTGGTGGTCCTCTGCCAAGGGTAAATCTTCCTTATTCCACGCTTTCCCTTGGATCTCAGGGGCTTGGGATTCCTGAAGGCTACTTTTACAGATAAATACTGAAATAAAGAAGGCATTGAGTATGTTCACCTTCTCCAAGTAATTTGTGACCAGTTCCTGCACCCCATTCAGCAGTGCAATTAACTAAAACATCCTCATAGGTATATATTAGGAAACACATGCTTATGTGACACAATCTTCCTCCTAACCTGGAGGTATTTTTGCTCCCAGTTTTAATCTGTTTGATTTAAAAAAAAAAAACACCAAACAACAAAAACCTGTAAAGATGTTCTAAATGACTTCACTTTTCTTTTATCCCACATTTTCTGAAGTGATCACCACTCGCTGTGGCCCTCAACTATAACAAGGTCTCATGTTCATTCCTACCATGTTCAAACTCACAGCAGATGTAATTCAGTCGTATTAGCCATGCAGAATGGCCTCTTAAGCTGAATCAAGATATGCAATAATACTACATTTTTGTTGACAGAGGAATCAGTGTTTGAGGAAGATGCCTCTACTCGTATATCTGACAAATCCAACCAGATTTCAGATTATTAATACTTGCTGAAGTAAAGGCTTGGCATCCTTTGCTCACTAGTTTTTACAGCTCTGCTTCAGTTATTTCGCATACAGAATTTGGATGAGGGCTTGATTTTGAAAAATCTGAATGCTTTACATCTCTGCAAAGGAGTGATAATGTTATGAAGTGTCACATAAGGCTATTGAAAATTATTTAGGTTACTGAGAATCTTGGTCTTTAGATCTGAAATCTACAGGTAGTCCCTTTAAAAGTAAAGGACAAAATTCATGTCCACTTTATTGAGACTATGAATACCCTTCTAAACACCAAAACATTATGCAAAGCATCTTTTTGGCATATTGGAGTATACTTATCTGTTGCTCATCTCTGAGGGACCTTTTCTCAATTATTCTGCTTACTCCTTCCCTTTCACCCTTACTACTCATGCAAAAGTAAGTTCTGCTCTATGAATAACCTTGTAGTTGTTTTCAAAATATTATAAACTCTAGGGTTTATCAAATATGGTGGGTGTAAGATACTACATGACTTCCAAAAGGAAGGGTGTATTTCTATTGGATACTAGCTAAATATCCACTTGAAACTAAAAGGCATTCTTGTAGCAGATTTCTTTGTTTCTCCTTTGAATCCTGCAAGATACCTCATTTGACTGAAAAAAATTTTAAGACACAAAGGGTCTCTTTTCAGAATCAGACTGGATAAGAGGTGCTGTAACTGAGGAATGGCTCTACAGGCATTGCCGACCTGATTAGGAGAAGTCAAACAAGTAAGTCGTGTGTCCTTCCGGGGTTATCTATCATTGTAAATACAAAAGCTAAGGTACAGAGAAGTAGCCTTGTTACTAGAACATTCGTTGTGAAGAATGCTGCAAATAGGTGATGAGACAAAAGGTGCCCCTTGTGGGGACAAGAAATATTTCCTTTCAAAGCTCCTCTTGAGCTTCCTGATTGGGAAATTCCAGACACAAAGCAATTTCAGGATTCTTCAAATTCCTGTGGATGAAGACACAGCGGGGAAAAAAGAAGGAAACCACCTTGTATTGCTCAGGCTATTGTCAGAAATAAAAATAAAATCCTTGAAGAATTGGTAAAGAAACAGCAGCTACTTCCCTGGGAAGTAACAGAAAGACTATAAAGAAAAACAGATTTAAGAACTGACAACAGTAAGAATGTGCCAGCAAGAACTAAGAAGACAAGACAATATATTAAGATTCAGCAATAACAGAAGCAAGACCACAGCGCAGCGTCCATACACCTCCCTACACCTGCTCTGTAACAAACACATAGTGTAGTTAAAGGTTTAGGGATTTGAAAATTCAGATCCCTAAATTATAGCTCCCAAGTAACCTCAACAATGCTAGTTTCCATTTTACTAATTTAAAAATCAGTGATACTTATTTAGTGGTTGCACCACTGGTGCTTCAATTTTCATCACCCACCAGGAGGATTTGCTCTTAGCCAACCCCCCTTAGACATGTTAATTACAGGCAGTATTCACATACACTCAATATGAAAACATTTCATCTAACCATAACATACCCTACTGTACTTGCATATTATCCAGAGCATGCCTTTACATCATGCAGTTTTAATATAGTTGCAACATTAAATGCACGTGGAAGTACTGTCTAAAAATTTTACGTTGAATGCTCTATTTCTGGCCAACTGAATAAAACTAGGTTTTTTTAACTGCTTTTTTTTCCTCCTTCCTTTGACAGATGTGTTTTGAATATTCAAGAAAAGTTAAGAACAGATCCCAGAAAAACAGAAGAAAAAGGCCACACACCATTCTTATGCCTACTTAGATACAGAACATTAATCTAGTTAAAATTACTAGCTTCCTGTATGTTTAGTCACTTTATTTCTACAGCATTTTTTTAACATGTTGTTAAGATGCAAGCGAGCATCGCACCTGAAGCGACAGCAATCATCCAGTGATTCATTAAATTAATTAAAGAGTATGAGGCTCGGTACCTTGGAGTGATCATTTACAGTATTGATTAATAACGTGAAAACTTCACTACAAATCAGAGAGAGAGGAGCAGACTGCTGAAGTTTCATGTGGAGCCGTGACGCTGCCCTGGTGTAATCTCTGAACTCATTTAAGAGCACTATTCATTCACATGTATGAAATTTATACTCCAGCCTAGTTAAAAACATAGCCTTGCTCCAGCTCTGAAAAATGTGGGGTAGCCTGGGAAGCCTACATCTTATAAAGGCTTCCTTCCTAAAGTGATTAAAAAACCCCGGAAGCCATCATTTGATAAACCTGATGCGATAAGATGGCGAGGCTATGCAAAGTAGCCATCTTCAAACTCCTCCCCACTAGCGGCTGCTAGTTCTTGCCTGTCTCCCCAGTACCTACTCAAGTGTCTATAACATGATCAGACAGGGGAATAGGTCCAAATGAAATGTAACTCCCTGGTAGTCTAGCCATCAGCTGGATGGATCAGTTCCCTTGATCTTACTTACTATGCAATTGAACAAGAAGCTATGTTGATGCAAGGAAGAAGTCAGTGCAAGGGTAAGAGCAAGCAGCTCAGAATTGAAAGAACAGCTCTTTCCAGGGCCCTGTTGGCTACAGCAGGTTTACAGTGTTCAATGAATTAGTTCCATTCTAATTGGGAAAGCCTCGTGCAGGATGTTGCCCTTTTCCACCTCTGAAAGCTTCTGCTTACCTTTGGAAAACAGCACAGGCAAATGCCTGGGTTAATTCAGGGCATGCATGGGGTGGGACCCTGGATTTACTCAAGGGATTAAAATTGCCCTGAAGTTGCTATGGAAGATTTTGTAACAATTTAGTTTCCAAGGGATGTTTTTCAACCCATTAGAAGATTTTGTCTTCCAAATACCTTCATGCTATTTCTATCAGTGACTCAGTGTGAGTCAGCTTGTCAGTTACCTTATGGAAAATTAACATGATTCAGAATAAGAGGGCTGCCACCCAAAACCAGCAGCCAAGCTTCAAATATATACACGAGAATGCTCAGGATACTTTGGTATAATGACCTATAAAATAGCATTAGAAATCCAGAACAGATATTTTTAATGTCTTGGCTATATGGTAGAAATGAAAGCAAGTGTTGAATAGGAAGAATCCATAACTAGCACTTTGTGGTAAAAGAGGCCTATAACACTTAAGGGAAATAATCTGAAGGTTCTGAATTTTAAGCCTAAAGCTGTGATTGAAGCAAGTATTTACAGCCATGTTCCACAGCCCAAAAACCAAGTCCATCATACAGCAGAAACGATGATACACGTTTTGCTGAAGCAGCAGTGAGAAAAGGATTTGGCAGGTGAGGAGAAAAATAAAAGCCCTCCACCTCAATTCACCACCTGAATTATGATGAAGACAGGCTGCAGGTTAATTAAGAGCGGCAATCTTATTTTAGTCATATTACTTCCACATCAGGCAATGAGAAGCTTTTATAGTGTACCCACACCTAAATGCATGGTTACTTACACCAAATGGGATCATTCCATTTACTCTGGGGTATAGTCACAAAATCTGGGTAACATACAAGGTATATTAGAGCGACAACCACATGGTTCATTAAACCACCCTTTACTTGATCATTTGTGCCCTGTAAAAACTAAAGCCTCCCGTCTCCTGCCCTCCCCACAAGAAAAATCACACATGAATATTTTTTAAACAAACGAACAAACAAAGAAACCAACCAAAGCCACAAAACCCCAATTGAATTAGTTCCAATTACGGATTGCATTTGCAAGCCAGGCATATAACTGTTCATTATAAGCATTAGTTACAATCACGAGTGATTATATCCACATCACCCCAGTTTTCTGCTGCTGTAGCATAAGCACTTTAAGCCCAACAAACAGCCCTAAACCCACCACCAGGCCTCATAACAGAAACTGGTACAAAACTTACAATCTTTTCCTCACGTACGCTATTGCTTTCTACGGGCATGCTGCTGGCATTACTTCCTGAAGGCACAACACAGCCAGCGCAATGCACCTGAGATGAAGGCATGCTCTGCAAAGGTTAAGACACACAACACATCACACAAACCACAACTCTGACCGCAGCGCTAAATGCGTGCAATTTGGAAAGGCATTACGACCTGATGAAAGCGAAACACCCGTGCCGGCCATATATACATTAGAATTCAAGTTAATAAGTAGAGAAACTCAAGCACTCCTCCCAGCACAGTTCTAGATTGAGGAATAAAGGTCAAAATTGTAACTGCTCTAGAACACTGTTTCAAGGATTTACTTTTTATCTCTGAAAACACATACTGACATCTTTCTGGTGAAAAAAATGCAGGTTACTGTACTTTAAAATAGAAGTACCCTGTAAAGGAGAATACTTACCAGGAATTGGGGACCCGCCCCCCCCAAACAAACAACAAACCCCCAGTGTTTCAGGTAAAAAACAAACACCAAAACCCCACCACATATATAGAACAGCCTAATTAATTTCACCGAAGAATTACAAAGTTCTATTGCATCAGATGCATGCTGCAAACAATTTGCCAAGCACACAAAATCACTCGATCTTCATTAAAAAAAGGTTGTTTGCAAAGATTACCTCTTGACTAAGCAGTGGTCGGCTTTCAAGCGGGGTCTTTCTTTTATGTTCCTCTTTCACTGGCATTAAGGGTTTGAAAAACTTTGGTGGCTGAGGAGAAAATGCTTTAAAAGGGCTGACCATTACAGCATGGGAATTCTCTGATACAACACCTAGGAAAAAAGCAAAAAGACTGTATTTCATTTCTTCACATCTCGACCACAAGAGCATAATTTAAAATAATGGAAGATTAAGCCATGCATTTGGCAAGTTGACAGTTACAGAAAAAAATTACAATATTTCAAGTATTCAACCACTGGCCCAAGCATGAGATAATCTTCCCTCACAGAGCTCTGCACTATGTCCCTCTGACGAGTCAGGAAAGAGAAGGAAAGCAGAGAACAGCAGTATCTGTCCCCTCCCTTCTGAGGCGCCAATATTTCTCCTTTTCATCTCAGCTGTAAAAAAAGTGGGAAGTGTCCTTCAAACTGGAACTGACAGCTCTTTGCTTCCTGTGCCTTACCTGACCTCTGCTCACTATGCTGCAATTCTGCCCTGGAACCAAGCCAGCAATCCTGCACAACCAGGATGATCAAAAAGGAAATTATAGGCAAGGAAGCAATGAGTGAACTCTTAGTCCCACTTTACTGCAGCGGCGTTTCCACCTGTACTGCCTGTTCAAGGTGACTGTGTTACAATTTGACCTAAAGAAAATAAGGCACCTGTGACACACCGACACGGCAGAGCAAATATTCAGACCACATAAAGAACCTCAAAAGGAACCTTCCCGCTTTAACAAAAGCATCTTAATTTTCAAATCCATGAACTAATAGCAGCTTTTTCTTATTTTTTTTCTTCTACTGTTTTGATTCACATTTAGCTTGTTCTTCTGCCTTCCTCTCAGTTTTTTGTACATCCCCAATTTCCTATCCTTTCCCACATTTCTTCATGCATTTCCCCCTTTCTCCCCTATTTCCAGATTATGTTTAGCTGCTGAAGCAAGAAGCTGGATAACGCATTTAGTAGGAGAAGAGTACTGAGAACTTAATAGGAAAAGAACACAGAGAATTTAATTTTCAGTTTAATGCAGTAATTAAAAAACACAAATACTGTCTTTACATATATACTGTAAAGTCTCACCACTGCCATCCTTGCTCTTGCGAGGTGACTCCCTGGGTAAAGTACCATAGCATGATACATCTTGATAACTGGAAGAACAGTCAGATATATCTAGGTGACTTTCAGACCAACCCTAAGAAACAAAAATACATAGATGTGCACCCTGATACAGGCAAACGTGGAAAAATTAATAGCTAAACTCAAAGGTACCTTTTTTTTTTTTTTTTTTTAATTTTAAAAACCCCACTAAGGAATGTTAAGTTACTGACTTAAGACAATTTTCTCACACAGATGGATTATTTAGAAGCTAATTAGCTTTTCAGTGAAGTATAATAAGTTTTCCTATAACTTCTCCCTTCTTAAATATTAGTTTCTACAATTCTAATATGAAAAGCAGAGAATGACAAGAAGGTTTAATTCAAAATAATATGTAATCAGTGCAGCATTTTGTAGATATATTATGGAAATAGACTGTTAAAACCACTGTTTTCCCATTTTTTTCAGTCCTCAAATACATCTTGCTTTGAAGAGGGAATGAATCTGAGAAAGTGTGCCATTGGTTTTTTCCAAACTTCACATTTACATACCTTCTCATCTTCATCACAGGCAGAAAGATCTAGTCGGCTACAAGATACCTAAAAAACACCAGCAGGCAGTGTGACAAAATGCCTACATTTATTTATAAAATATAATGTCTTCAGAAGCCATTGTGATCATTTAGTCCTAACAACTTCTGTGTTATCTCTTTTCAGGTAAGATTATTTGTAAGGACAGCTACGTTTGTTCTGTATGAGTGGATAACAGGAGAATGAATAAAGTGCACACAAAATGGAAATTATCCCTTACTCTATCAAAAAGGTTAAAGGGATCCTGAAGCAAAAAGTAACCTGAATCAGGGCAGTCATAATCCTAAACTACTTCCAAAACTCTTATAATTTACATCAACCCTCCCACTTCCCTGTCAACTTCATCATCTCCCTGGATGGACAGTTGTGGGGAGGAGTTTCTATTAAATGACTGATTCATTTTCATTCATGACATCTCTTCTACAGGTTGGTTAGTCCTAGCTCAGAATAATTATTACGGTATCACATCGTGCAAGTATTACATCAGCACACAGACACCAACCCTCTGCCCAATTAGTACTAGTTTGCCAGAGGATAAGGGGACCTTACATTGTGGACATTTGGAGTGCTGATGCTCCTGCGGATGTTTCTCACTTTGGTGGATAATGCCTCTTTGACTGTGACTGCCTGTGTAAAGAAATGATTACACTAAAAAAGTGCTCGTATCAAAGATGGACAATGCCATGGTCTCCTCATGAGAAAACGATCAAGCAGGATAGAGACTTTTTTCAGTGTGGCTAACAACAGCAAACAGGGCTTGCATTTACAAATCTTAATTTGCACACACAGCCACCAAAATTTGTTTCCAAAATTCATTCTTTGGCCTCTGGCTGTTCAGGTTCCGAGTACTACACCACTGCCAGCTACAGTTACTAGACCCACCACTGTCAGAATTCTGTATTTCACAGAAGTAACTTAGTCTTCCATTTATTCATCCAATGTTCTCCAAAAATACCCAAACTAAAAAAGAAGCAACACTCAGTATTTTTAAAAGATCAATCATCTCTACTTGAATTCTCATAATCCAGTTCAAAAGATGCAATAAGTGCCTTTTCCTTGCCTGTCTTAGTCGTTCAAGGCTCAAAATGTTCTCCACTTGCAGCACACCACGTGTGTACTTTTCAATGTATGTTTCACCATCGGATGTGCCCTCATTCTCACTCCTTGCAGCCATCAGCGCTAAGGTCTCGCGATCCTCAATTTCTTCTGTAGCCTAAAATACAAGTTACACTACTGAAGTTTTTAAAAATTAAAGCCCCTTGGTTTTAATATATTGATTCACTTATTTAGACTATCTCCATCCAGAAGTTAATTTGAATCCTCTCTACAACTACCTGAAATGGGGTTGTGGTGAGGTGGGTGTTGGTCTCTTCTCCCAAGTAACTAGCAATAGGATGAGAGGAAATGGCCTCAAGTTGTGCCAGAGGAGGTTTAGACTGGGAATTAGGCAAAAATTCTTTACTGAAAGAGTGGTCAAACATTGGAACAGGCTGCCCAGGGAGGTGGTGGAATTACCGGCACTGGAAGTCTTCAAAAAATGTGTGGACGTGGCACTTCGGGACATGGTTTAGTGGGCATGGTGGTGTTGGGTTGATGGTTGGACTTGATGATCTTAAAGGTCTTTTCCAACCTTAATGATTCTATGAATCGATAATCCTTAATTTAATCAGTAATCCTAATTATAACAAATGGTCCAGGACTTTTCATCACAGATGTAAATGATGCTGAACTAAGAAGAGGTCATGCTTGGGAGAAGTTTTGCACATTTATTGTAGTCAATGTACTTCTAGGAATAATGCATATATAACCTGAAATTGGATATGTTAAGGATAACTAATGACAACTTCCTAAGCAAGTAAATGCAACTTCCCTCCCAAATCTTAGATATTCTGTGTGATTTCTCTAGAGCTTAAAATTTAAGTACTACCACACAAAAGTGACAATTACATGGTGACAAGACTATTTATGTTTTCATTTGTTCATTTTGTTTACCTTTAAGATACATTTTATAGTACATTTACAATTTGTACTAGCTTTTTCTATGAAAAGCAATTTATATTCCTGTAAACTCATTTTCGCAGCTGTTCTGTTTTCACTGACCTGAACATCCCTCTGGGTATCCTCTATATTCTCTCTGTAGACACTAATATGATTTCAAAAATAGCTCTACTACAAGAACTCAGTTAAAGCAGTAGAAGAGAAAATAAAAACCCCAGAGTTTTCAGCTGTTTAAAGATACACACGATCTCAACACTGAACTTCAGGATATACGTTTTGGCAAGCTGCCTCCCATTAGCAAAGCAGGACATTTACTTCCCCATCAGTATCACTCACTGCAGTAGGTCATTCTGTTCTTTTCAGTGAATTTACCACAGAAATATGGTATAATTTACCTTTGGTATATTGGATACTATTTCATAGGTCACTCCACAGGCATAATATATATTTTTCAAGGATATTCTCCTTTTCAGGCTCTGGGTAAAACTCTAGAAACAAAGTAATTTTCAATTATTGTTTTGACAATGGTTATTTATGACATTCTAAGAAATAAAAGGTCACAATGCAAAAGAGCTATTTTACCCGTACATTTTTCAGGACCATAATTTATTAAGTTCCTTTTTAGCATTAATGATCCTTTACATACTCTTTACAGCCCTGGGCTCAATACACAATGATACTAAGTTCAGTCAGTAACTTTTTCCTCCTATTTTGCACTGATGCTCTATCCTCATGTAGTAACTTGTAACTGAGAAACTATGGCTGTAAGAAGTCTCTAATGTACAGATACCAACATTTCTCAATTTTGTTAGCCACCTGTTAAACAGGTGGAAAATCCCTTTTGCAATAGCAAAGAATAACTCTGCTTTCTAGCTATAACTGCAATAGTAACCAGAGTTTTCACTGTTGTAATCCCAAGCTTAGTGTACTTCACTGTCAGGTTAGTTGGCCTTACATCACTAACAGTAAACTTAACTTTCACCTCATAAGGGATTTTAAGACAAATGAAACTAGCAAAGGACAACACACCAAATGCAAAAAGGCATGGGATTCATCTGCTTAGCAAGTTGCTTAGAAGTACAACAGCTGTTTTGTGCTCCTCCCTGCACTGCACTGCAAAATCTGAAGCGATTTGGAACTACACTTTTGGTCTCAGTCATCTGGGAAACAGAAAGGAACGTAATTTCAGAGCGCACCTCATTGCCTAAACCCACAAAGCAGCGAAACAACGGGAACAGCAACCATCCTTGAAGCCAATGAAAACACTCTATCCAAAATCATCATGTTAAAGGCAGTAGAGAATGTATACACTTGGGTAGTGGTGGGGAGCAAACCTAGTTTGTAATTAACAGAAAGTAGCAAACAAAGAAAAAAGATCTATTGTGTTTACACTGAACATTCGAAGGCCCCATAAATGCTTTCAGGAATAGAGTGGCTACAGTGACCTTGTATTAGATAAGCTACTGCAAACTTCTCTGAATCAGAGAACATACCGAATTGTATAGACATGAAAGTAAATTTCTTGTTACAAAAGTAGCACCTGTTACACCTGAAACAAATCAGGCTGAAAAATGGACAGTTCAAAGGAGTATTAGAAGACATGAAAAGCTTCACTGCAACCTTTAATGATCTATTTTTCATTTGTCTTTCATAAGAATTGGAGAGATCAAACTTACACAAACTGAAGCAAGCAGCTAAGAAAACATTCATCAAATTAATGATATGAAACAAAAATAGTAATAGTAACAGTAATAACAACAACGACAACAACAACTACTACTACTACTACTACTACTTATTACCTGCTTGTTATAAATATTGGCTGCAATCCTTTTGCGTAATACCAGTTCCATTGCAGCAGGATGGCTGAGCTGCACTGTAGTTTTCACTATTAAGTAAATTCTCTCATTTTGAGGAGTTACTCTATTCAGGTGCACTGAATCATGAACAGAAGAATCCCAAGCAGCAGTGGCTGAAACCTATGCAGACAAATGAAATGAAGGAAAGAGAAACCAAAGATTCAATTACTCTAACAACAGGTATAATTTGTAATGATTTTAACATGAAGTGAAACAATTCTTTAATGAAAGAAAAATAAGTATCATTGAACAAAGCAGGGTCCAACCTCCTTTTCATAGTAAGGAATTTATCAGAAGAAGCATAAAAGAGGTGTTATGATATCGGGGAACACAATCGTAAGCACAATCCCTGCATTGTGCAAACCCTACCCCAAAAGGAAGCCTTCACACAGCTGGAGATGGAAAGGAAAGCAGAAGCAAAACTGCAGGAAGGAATACAAATCATATTGCAACTATATTAAAAGTTTATTAAATTCAATATCAAATCTTCCACCTGTGTTGGATTACATTATAACGGCCCATACAAAATAAACATGCTTCCAACCTGCAGAACATCATCTTCCCCCTGCCTCCTCTCCAACTTCAACATCCCATATATTCTGGAAATGGTCTCTCAAGCAATAGCCTGAGTTGTCACAGAATGTGAAAGAAATGAGTTAAGAAATTCCAAAATGGATTCAGAACCATTAATTTCCAACAATTCCCAAACTTTATATTTAAAAAAGTATTTGTGTACTATGAAGGAAAAAAATTATTTAAATATTAAGCTTTGTCTAGCGTGCACAATAAATGAAGTGGCTTTCTCTGAAGAATCAAGAGCCTGCAAGAGGAATGATGAAGGGGTGAGGAAAGAAGAAAAAGGGATTTTGAGTCAGGCAGCTGAATTATTACTTTGCCAAGAAGAGCTACGACTTGTCACCTCTGCATTAAGGCAGAAGAGCTAACAAGTCCTATCCTCTTAATTTCTAAATAAATAGGCCAGAAAATGAAGGCAGCACTAGGTAGAGAGGCTACTTCTAAGACAAAAAGATAATAAGTACATACAAGTAGAAAATAAAACATAAGAATAAAGTGTTAACATAAGCTGCAGTTGTCAAGAAGGAGGCTTGCTAACAATTTACCTCATCATCACTGTGTTTTATGATCGGCAGATAAAAGAATGGACTCCCATGCTCCTTTGGTAGTATTGAGTTAACTCCTGATGCATGGGGACCTATAAGTTGTTCATTGGCACTGAGGTCATCAGCTAATGAAACAAATGTGCAAAGAATGAAATAGTTTTATACCAAAGGATATTAGAGAGGCAAATTGTAATACAAGTTGTAATAAAGTCCTACCTATATTTCATAATACATTTAATCCTGATTAATCTTATTACTATGTGATATTTGGAAGACTACTTCAGCATACAAAAGAAGGGAAGTAAACCCATGCTAAGACTCAGCCTGAACACATTCTCACGTAACATAAACAAAATTCAGAACTATTTCTAGGTATTCATAACATTAACTTACCCAGCCCGGAAATTTCTGATTTGTCCACCTGTGAGCCTAACCAGCTCATCTCTTAGTTAAACCACTTCTGATATATCAGGGAATCTTTAAATTGAGAATAGCAGTTCTGTCTACATCAGGCTTTTAGCTAAACAAAAAAAAGTTGTGCAATGATCCCTCAACTGTTTCAATATCCTACTTGGTTAATCCTGTCTGCTAATCTCTGCTGGTAATGAAAAAAAAAAAAAAAAACCCCTCTTGTGAGCATAGATGAAGGAAAGTGTTTATGGCTTTCCAAAAGTGACTTCTAAAGCAGGTATTAATGTCTACTAGTCCACTGAAGTGCTGGATGTGACAAGGCCTGTGGATCCTCCTCTGCTTTATGTCCAAATTCATACTTTCAAATTTGCTTCCTAAACAAGTCCTTAAGTGTGGTGCTACCTCTAATCTCTTGTTGCTTACAGTGTATCTATGTCCTAAGAATATACACCAATAGTCTTCTCACATGTAAAACTAAATACCTTCAAAAGGAGAGCATTTAGACTCTCTAACAAAACACTTATTATAGTCCCAACACACTCTTCATTAAACCATCTGTTTAAGACTCTACAGATACTTATTGAAAGAAGGTCTGGAAGCATTGGGAGATTCTCCATCAGTGCTTTAATGACATGTGAATTTGTACATCAAAACACATACAGTATTTTCTTATCTGCTGTTTGATTTAAACTAAGCTTGCTCTCTTACACTATTTTCTGTTGTACAGCCTATCCCTGCACTTGTATGTTCCCCGGTTTTTAGCTTTAAGTTAAAATAGTTGTGCTTAATTATTCCAACAGAGAGAATCAGAAGAAAAAAACATTTTACAAGCCATATCAGACAGTGCCATTGCCAGGACTTCTTTGATTTCTTAGACATTTCAGACTCATTCTTCCATTTATCAGTTTATTGATCCAAACTCATCCCCGCCACCCAAGTTTCTTTATCTGCTGTTACAACATACCATTCAAATCAAGGAAGAGGACAGGTATATGTGTTTCCATTCCTGCAGGTGGAATCCTGAAACAAAACAAACTGCTATCAACAAGGAAGGCAAATTTTTACCTAAGCTAATTTGGACAAACAGATCTCTATGCAAGAGACATATTAACTGTAACCAATGACTAAAACTGTCAACATTTTGAGGTCTAATTTGAATGTCTGTTGCACAGACAACATTTTGTTTATCTACACAAGCAGCCAAATGTAGTGCTTTACCAAATCTTAATTCACACCACACAGCGCATTTCAGTTGCTGGGAGGATGACAGTTTTAAACATCCTGTTGCGTTCCCTATAAACTTAACTAGTTGTAGTCATCTCGTACATAAAGGTTAGCAACCTTTCAAACAACTGTATATGTAACTACTGGCAAGGCATAGTCTTTATACCAATAAATACACTTTTCATTGTATGACCACATGTGGTTTAGCCCCAGCCGGCAACTAAGCATCACACAGCTGCTCACTCATCTCCCCACACCCAGAGGTGGGATAGGGGAGAGAATTGGGAAAAAAATACGGTGGGCTGAGATAAAAACAGTTTAATAGGACAGCAAAGGAAAAGGAAATAATAATAATAACAACAGTAGTAATAATACTGATAAAGCAACATACAAAAACAAGTGATACACAATGCAACAATTGCTCGCCAGCCAGTGATCAATAGCCCATCCCCAAGCAGTGATTCTCACCCCCTGACCAATTCCAGTTGATATACTGAGCATGACATTATATTGTAGGGAATATCCCTTTGGCGAGTCTGGGTCAGCTGTCCTGGCTTGTGCCCCCTCCCAGCTTCCTGCGTGATCAATAGCCCATCCCCAAGCAGTGATTCTCACCCCCTGACCAATTCCAGTTGATATACTGAGCATGACATTATATTGTAGGGAATATCCCTTTGGCGAGTCTGGGTCAGCTGTCCTGGCTTGTGCCCCCTCCCAGCTTCCTGCGCACCTCCCTGCTGGCAGAGCACGGGAAGCTGAAAAGTCCTTGACTGAGTATAAGCACTACAACTATTCAGCAACAACTAAAACCATCAGTGTGCATTATCAACATTCTTCCCATACTAAATCCAAAACACAGCCCTACACCAGCTATTAGGAAGAAAATTAACTCTCTCCCAGCCAAAACCAGGATACCACAGCACACTTCAGGTGGATAACGGAAAAAAATGGCAAGGAAAGATTATCACTACATCATTCACCCAATGATGAAGAGATATTGGGTATTATCACAGAAATCAGCGCAGACTTGATTAGGGCCATATTTCTTGTCAACACTTTCCCCAAACTAACATATCAGTTCCAACAATCTTAGTTAAAACACAGATTTAAAGGAAATCAAATGAGAAAAGAGAACACATCCTTTAAAATCAGAATTTCTTCCCTCCCCACCCCATATTAGTGAGATTACCACGTGTTCAACCATTCATTTTTGAACCCCTCCTTTTTTGAAAGGAGTCAAAGTACAGGATAACTCTCTCAGAATTTTGAAAAAGTGTAAAATACTATGTTAAATTCAAATGTGATTTTCAAACCTGGAAAGCTATCTCAAAGCTACTTTATGTAATATGTTAACTAAGCAAACTTTTCTTACATCTTAACCAGCACCTGACCTTCTAAGCCTTCTGCAGCTTGAGTGTAATTAGTAGCATTACAAGAAAACATAGAAAGCTCTACAACATCCTCAGATTTTTACCCTGTAGTGTGTAATGTTCATGTAGAAAAAGCTAACCACACCATTGCTTTTTCTGAACATACCAATTTGCAGGGGCACCGGGAATTCCACTGCCTGGTGCTGGAACAAACACTGCATTCCTCTCTTCTGTCAGTCCTACCCACTGCTCAACCAGACGGGCTTCTCGTTCTATATCATCCTCAGATTTTTCTACAGAGAAAGAGATTAATAATATAGATGAGACACATTTTTTGTGGTATAGGGAATAAAGCACTTACAATAGGGATTTTAAGCTTCAGACCTTGTTTATTGCTGATCTTTTGAATCTGCTCATCCAAGTATTCTCTGCGTTTTATCAATGCATCAGACCACCTTTCTCGTACACAGTTTAAATCTTCTTCCTAACATGGAAAGAGAAAAAAAGTTATTAGGCTGCGTGGTTAAGATTAAAGGGCAGTGAATTTTGTGATAATTTCATCAGAATTGGTACTAAACAGCTTGCATGATGCAGAAAACTTTTTCCCCGAATGACATGCACACCGATTAAGTACCTCATCACCCATGAGTGGAAGCTTATTTGCTTTCAAGTCTCAAATTCCAACAGGAGGAAAAGAATGTGACTGCCTTAGTTGCTGATCAGAATTACACACCATAGGCTAATTACTTATAGAAGTGGCAATCAAATTTTTTAACAGCATATGGACTAGCAAAAACAGGTATCATCAGTTGATCGTAAGTTCGCCTGAAGATTAGACAGGTCAGTACGCCCTGAAACCTGCACAAAATTCCATTGCTAGCAGCTGCTATCAGTGCAATTAAAAGATTTCTCATGCAAACAAAACCCGTCATGCAATCATGCTTTGTGGTATCACAGAAAATCTGGTTCGTTCTTCTCTGTGATAAGTCAGGAAGCGCATAAACAGCCCGCAAGAAGTTAGTACATAACAGATATCTTTGAGATTGCTGTAAAACCTAACATGTTATCTTAAGGAATGTCAGTATTCTCACCTAACTGGTTTTACTTCTGTAAAGCTGCCTACTAGAAATAAGACTTCCATGTAGAGATCTGTACTGTGTTTTATTTTTTGAGGCATTTCCTCTTCTGCCGTTCATTGCCTTTTAAATGATTATTCTTCTGTTATGCTTTCTAAACTGTGACTGTCCTATATTTATTTATCACAGAAAAAGCCAGGCTCAAGGTTTGTTTTTGTGTAGATAAAAAAATTGCTTCACTGAAGCTTCTGTATTCCACCCACCCCCCCCCACCCCCCTTCTTCACCCCCCCCCCCCCCCCCCCCAGCATTTCAGAAAACTGCACAACTTAAAAGGTTACAATGTTTTCTTTAGAAAACAAATAAAACCCCTATGCTGTATAATTTGGTTGGGAAAGATGCCTGCAACTGCAGGTGGTTGTTCTTTTCCCTATGATAGTCACTGGGAATTGCTTTCATTCTACATTACAGTTTCTAGGCTTTTACATACATAGCAATTCATGTAGCCAGTTAGGAGAGCTGACTGCCGAGTACTAGAGAAGAGAGCACACTGCAAGAGTATAAAGTCACGAGGTAAACTGAAATAGCAGTGTTTTATAGCCCAGGTAGCCTCTTAAATGCACAGCATATATATATACACATATATTTCAAAGCCACTTTTGCTTGCTCCAGTAGGCTTGTTCATTTGAAAGTTGCTGGCTATTAGCATTAGCTGTGCCCCATGCCACAGGATTGACAGCAACAGCAGCAATACCTGGTAACTATCCATATCACCACCATCATCCTCCTCCTTCTGGTAGGAGAAAATAAATTTCGTAAAACACAAAAGAACATGCATTTCTCTAAACAAACTCACAGAAATAACCCAAAACATGAATACAAACATTTCTGTCACAAAAAAAAAACTTGTGAAATGTTAAATTTACAACATTCAAATAACCAGTCTTATTAACAGGTAGAGGCAGATTTTTTTTCATTACAGACTACAGCATCTGAGCTATGATTTGAGCATTAGTGAATATATTTATTAAAACAAATTATCACAGAATACAGTGCCAGAGAAAGGACTGAGCAAGCATATCACCAATCTTCAAGTTTTACAGTTTCACCTGTATTTAAGGCTCTAATTACTTGTGGTTCTGAACGCAACCCTTCTGACAAAAGGCACCTCTCTTCCCGGACTGGCCCATTCTGCTTGTTCTTTGCAACTGCTATTAAAAGCATGCTTTATTTCAAATATGAATTTGTCCAGTGTCAGCTTGAAGCCATTTATACTTCTTCAGAACTTTTTCTGCTAAATGAAATAGCCCTTTCACATTCAGTAATGGCTATTTCTGATTTTGATCAAGTAACAGCTCAGTCCTTTTTGAAAAGATAAACAGTATCTTCACTATAGGACATTTTCTCTATTCCGCTCCCCCGCCTCCGCTTTTCCCCTCCTCAATTTTTACCATCCTTGTAAGGGAGGGAAACTAATGGAGCTAGGAATCTACCATTAATCACCTCAACACACAAAGGTAAGAACGGTTTCGATATTGCTGCTGTCTTGTGTATACTCAAATATCACATTTGGCTCTTTATCAGTTACACACCAAATTATAAGTAAAAAAAGAAGCAGATTTAGCACCGTATGTTCACATTGTACATATTAGGCTCAAACCTGTGTAAAACTGCAGAATTACATATCATGCATCAGTGTGCGTATCAAGGGACATATCAGGTCCCTTACGGAACTATGTTGGACTGGCTCTAGAAGAGCAAAACAAAACAGAACAAAACAAAAATCAACACATGAAAAAGTAACTGTCTTACCTGGTAGCTGTCCAAGCCCCTTTGCAGCTTGGTTGATCTGGCAGTCACACCACCTATAGAGACTGAAAGAATTGCTTCTACCATGAGAGGCAACGTTCCCGAATGTTGTACGGGTTTCACTGTCACCTGAACTCTGCGAGAATGACCCTGAGCAGGTAATTGAGAGATAGAAAGAAAGAAAGAAAGAGAGGGAGAGAGAAAAATAGAGAGAAACTAAGAATAAAATTAAGAATCAATTTGAGCATGAGTAAGACGACAGGGAAAAGATACGTACCTGCCTAAGCTGGAAAATCCCCCCTGTGTTTACATCTTTTGCCTGATGGAGTTCAACTGCAGTATATTCTCCCATCTCATTCAATTCTTGTATGGAAATCCACATTTCTATTCTTCGAGTTACTTCATTCCACCTAAAAAGACATCCCCCAAAAAATCTAATGGTTGCCTCACCAAAGTATATTTTGTGCACCACAAATACTAGAAAGCTTTAGAAAGCTGATGGAAACATTCATGTGTAATTTAATTGTACCTGTCTCTCAGTGTCCTAGTTTTAGCATGAAGAGAATCAACTTCCCAGACAGAACTGCCATTGCCAGTACATCTGTGACCCCACACCTCAATAGCAAGAGCTCCTTCTGAAATGAACTCCAAAAACTCCTCTGTGACATTCACCACATAGTCCTGGCAATGAGAAAAACAAATCATATCCAATCAAATGAAATAATTCTATCTCCTCAACTAGTTTCTAAGGACACACCAAACAACTAACTACCTGCACACTAAAACCCTATGGTTCGGACCATAAAGCTTGACTCAGGTCAAGAAAGTTGTGAAACATCTCATCTCAGCAATTCCTGCTTCTGCATACTGCATTTCATGCTTTGAAGATCTCCATAAAAACAAAGTCACAGCTCCAATGATCTTTAAGTTGCTGAGCTTACCAAACAAGTATATAATAAGATGTCATTATATAAACTAGTTTCTTCCACGCATTAAAGATGACATCTGAATTTAAGAGACCAATAATTGAAAGTTTTTTTTTTTTCATTTTGCTGTATTTCAAAGAGGTGATGAAATGAAATATTACGGCATTCTAAAGTATAGTCAAAAGTCATTAGTTATATGACTTGATTCCTTCCTTCTTCCCCCAGTGAAACAAAGGCTCAAATTCTAGCTTATATCTCAAACATACCATCCTCCCAGTAACACTATTTTGTAATAAAAATAGTTACCTTACAATGGGAGAAGGTCACTGTAAAATGAGCATCCTTGCTCTGAGGTGAAGGCACATCTGGATCTACCACTGGTGCCGCTACTGTTGACTCACATTGATCCCAAAATGTATATTGACAAAAGACAAAATTGGAGAGATTAGGTGGCAGTCCGGTTGCTTCTTTTATTTTTACCTGAGGAAACAAAACAGTTGTTCTCATAAATACGATTGTTTCTTCTTCAGCTCTAAGTTGAAGAAGAAAAAAACTAAGTATTTAATCCAAAGTACCAACAGGCAAGAAGAATTTTTAAAGGACACCTGCAATTACTTTCTAAGGATGTTCCTTATCTAGGAAATCTACATTTTGCATACACAGAAACACAGATGCAAGGATAGCAGTTACATGCACCTAACTAGCCCACCCATGTACATGTTTTCTTTGTGGAAGTTGATATGCTCAAGTGGAGAATGAACCTCTTCTTCATGGAAAAAATGAAACCCAGACACCACTCGTAATTGTAACACTAGATAATGAAACAAACCATAGGAGATGGTTACATAGAAAAACTTTTCCCTTCTGTGCGTGCCAAGAAGGACAGTCCTTATGTCAGTATTTATGATGTAGACCTCCATATACTTGAAACTAATGGAAACTAATTCACAGCCACTGGCAGCCACAGCCAGTTAGACTGACCTACACTGAACCGGAACAGCAAAAGTCTCTCTTTTTGCTGTAGATAATTTTAAGTGAGCAATAGCCTACATAGCTTAGTACTTTACACCAGACCAATTACATAGTTACAAAGGCCTGAAACTGTTAACTTCATCATGTGTTCTCACTTACCCTGCAGGAGAGCTTTTTTGCTCTATGAATAATTTCTCCATTGTTATCCATGACTTCCAGACTCCCACTCTCACTGGAGTTCTCAGATGAGTCATCTCCTTCTACTACACGTTCTGGGACAGACCCAGTGACTCGCATTACTTCAACATGCAACCGTCCTGCAACCTAAGGCAAGACAAATACTAAGAACCTGTGCACAAGGGACTTAAAGACATTAAGATGGTAAATATCTAACTCTAGGAGGTGCGCAGGAACAGAACTGAACAGCTCTACCAAATGAAAAGCAACAGTGTCAAAAAAGAGGAGAAAGGAATACAAAAATTAATTATTTGTATACAGAACTACTGACCTTTTTAATTCACACACAACAGAAAAGGCAGAAAGTGTCATGACTGTACATCAGAACCTTAATATCCTGGGTTTTGCTCAGTTACCTACATTGACACTAAGCATTTTATTCTACTAATTTCATAGCTGGGCGATTGTAAACAATTAAACAGAAAACATACATAGCTCTTTGCAAAACACTTGTTCACTGGGAAACAAGACACTAAGCATTATTTGCTTGTTAAAAATTCGGTGGAGATGAAGCCTCCCAGCAGGGAGCCACGCGGCCCCCGCAGGGAGGGGCCCAGAGGAGTGCGCCCAGCCCGCCATACGTCAGGGCGCCGTTTGGCTTTACCTCCCCCTGCTGGCTGATGATGGGCACGGCATACTGCAGCTTAACGTCCGAGAACAGGCACTCCAAAAACACGTTTGCAACGCCAATTAAGTTGTGATTCTCTTGCGCTTCGTAAAAAGGATCACCTCTTTTGCCAATGAGCTTCCTTATCTGTGTTAAAGATCGCAAAAGTTATGTCAAAAATTGTAAGCGTGGGAACACAGAATCAAATAACCCCGTAATACGAGATCACGGCACAAAAATTAAGTCACTGCCAATCTTTGCTGTTCCTTCCCATTACACAAGTAGAAAGAGACTAGAAGCACATCATAAATCTGAAATGAAATCCTTGAGGTAAGACATTATACATCCTTTCTTTATTATGGGATATAGTAATACGATGACCTACATTTTTTAGTGATGTCAAGACAAAGTAAATTTTACCATGAGCAAGCACAATAGCCATTGATTTCAAGAAGTGTCACCTTACTTTTCTGCTCTGTTTACACTCTTTAAATGAGAGGACAAATCATCCTCAGGTTGAGTAGCTGGCCTGGCTGCTGGGTACCACTACAAGGGCAAAGGGAAGGTGCAGAATGACTCCCACCTAAGCCTTACAAGTGTTCTCATGACTCCCACAGAGCTGAGATCACATCTGCAGCATTTTCTATGCGAGTATCCTATATACAGCCACAAAGAATTCATGCAGATTCCCAGCATGATATGCTCTCCTCAGCGGACCTGTCAGCTCCTTCCCTTCTCCTCTTTCGTCTTCAAAACATTTGACCTACATGTTTCTATGTAGCACATAGAATACATCATGCATTATGGATGACATAGGTGATGGCAAGGACAATCCTGGCTCAAGCAGACATAATATAGCCAAAGGATGTGCCATCAGTTCTTACTAAACTCAGCAGCAAAATCATCATTGTCTTCAATGGGCACAGATGAAGTGCTTGACCTCCCCTGTGCTATGACTTCAGAGATTCCCAATGTCCCGTCCAAGACACATGATAAAGGCACAACAGCTATCAAACATATTTGAGGATGATTCGTCACACAAGTAATTTAGGTGCTCCTTATCAGCCACAAGACAGCAAGATATACTTCTTATGCACTTCTACCTGGATACTTAGAGGACGTCTTCTGAAACACCAAATCTCATGTCTATCTCTTGTCAGTAAATAAGCAAGCTTCTGACAAGGCTCACGCTTATTTGCCAAGGCTGACACACTACTAAAATTCTCAGGAAGCACCACTTAGTTTTGATGGAGACACTGATATAGACTAAGTATCTTCAATTGATTTCTTCACTGCTATAAGGTTGGGAGATATACAGTGAAATTACAGATATTTCACATTTTAAGATTAAGTTCTACTTCACTAATATGTTCTCCACCTTGAGTGTATCTAAGCAGCATCCTTGCTAGCTTTGATACCAACCACAGTTTAATCATCTTATTTCTAATGCAGCTTGCTGCTTCCATTCAGAGCTGGTACCTATCTGCATGGCACCTATATTATGCCAGGTAAACTCTTTGTAGTATCATGAGTCACTACATCAGCACACTTGTATCTAAGAATGTAAGTGACCATAGGACATACCTGTGTTTTATTACACATGGGCATTTTGAATATTTAGTATTATTCATAGTTGCCCTTTTTTCTTTTTTTAAAAATACAATACCCTACCCTTTCATATACAAAATCATTGCACTTTATCTGTACAACATATTAAAAGGGGTTACAAGAAGACAAACTCAATCTCTGATTCCTTTCAGAAAATATATACAATACCTCAGGAATTTTCTCCTTCCACTCTTGATAGAGGTCTCTCATGTCAATCAATTTGTTCTCTAGTTTCTCAATGGTCCACACTTGAGTACCTTTTCCTTTTCTTCTCACTTGAATAGCAGGCTCACTTACTATTGCACCCCTCTAAATCAGAGGAAAAAAATAATTACTGTGGGAAAGGTGTATGTGAGTAGTTTAACTCTTCAGTCAAACTGCATTCTGAAAAAGGAATAAAATATAGAACATGCAGAATGAATAAAAAAGGTATAAAATACAGAACATACCCTGCATGCCGGCCACACTATCTTCTCATCCTCAAACACAGCATAGCCTATGCATCTCTGAGGCTCCAGACCTCTTTGTCCTTCTTGGACAACTACCATTTTCACACAGGAACATTAACACTCTCAGTCAAATCACTTATGAGAAGGACATTATCCTAATTGCTATCCTTATATTTACAATATTGCCATATTGTAGCAGCACTACAACTAGAAAATCCTTAATACAAAAGTTGTAGGCATCTGTAATAAAAACTGGCAATTTTTGCAAACATAACTAAAATGCAGGTTTTACAGTAATAGAACACAAACGTCTGTTCACAAACTGCATGTGCATATGGCAATCATACAACTTGAAAGTTCAGCAAGAGCCATGCTTAATGCTATGTGTACCCATCTATTACTTATAATTATTCACTTTCAATATATTAAAGTCAGGTAGCACCCATATTTTGCCTACACATAATCTAACAAAAGTAACATTTTATGGCCTGAAGTTAGATGAACGTTACATACATCTACATATTTTAGATTAGCCATAAAACTATGTTTTCCAGCATTCTCTGCTGTCGTTACCTTTTTGTTGGCACTGAGGTTTTCAGCAGGGATCTGAAGTGTTACTTGATAATCTGTCAGTTTACTCATTTCTTCTGCTAAGAAGTTTGCTTCTCTCACCAGTGTATTTGCCTTTACTATCTGCTCTCGAAGTTTAGCCAGGCTCTGTCGAAACAATTCATCCCTGTGGTGCAGTAGGTAACATGAAAAATACACAGAAACCTATTTCTATTATTGGAAAGCTGCAAATAGAGGTGCTAACAAAGGCTATTCTGAAACAAGTTTAAGAATAAATGCTGTATAGAACTGTGTCAGACCACTTTATTGAGGAAAAGCAGTGATCGCCTATTAAACAGACACATTACTGTTGAGATAAGTCTAGCATAGTAATGCCCAAATAAAAGGGCACAGTACTATAGGACCTGTTACAGTGATGATTTGCTAAAAGCCCTAGGGACAGTCCTAATTTTCAAGAAATGAAATAATTGCAGCTGTCTTTGTCTTTAATCTGGAGTCCTGTTCCACAGAAACTACCAGTCCCAACATGTGGAACTTCATCTTGATAAAACCCGCTTTTCCTCAGACTGTGATGTTAGAACCTGCAATCACTGCAGGCCACAGCTTTACATCACAGCTAGGGCTCTGCAGTGCTACAGACCCCCAGATATCCCTCCATATACTTAAGCCATCTCAAGTGTACACATTAAAAAAAAAAAACAAACAAACACAAAAACAAAAACCAACAAACAAACCACACTCAAGTCCTATATACCCGAAGTATCTTTTAAGTAACAGATGAACAAGGGCAGGTTAAAGCTTGTGCACTCCGTACAGTTAACAGTCTCTGGACAAATTCCAACAAAGTTTCTAAGGCCTGTCTGAACAAATCTGTTCTAACTTAACACCTGGCAAACCTGCTATGACACATACAGTATCTCCACCTGCAATACTAAGATACACTCTCACCTGGGATTCTCGTCTTTAATTTGCCTTTTAAAAGTATGAGGATTATTCTCTGAGCAAATGTGAAGTCCGCCTTTCTGCCTTTCTTTGTAATCCCAGTAGCACTTACTGCATCTCATCATCTTCATAAAACTCATGATCGAACTCCCTATTTCAGTGACCAGCATTCCCCTGTATGACTTTTTAGCTTTTCTATGGCAAGTCCTACTGAAATATAGTACATGTTGTGCACATACACTTCTCGTTTCTACAAAATACATTACATTATGGACAAGCATAGGAGGAACAAGCAAACTAATGGGCCTTGCTGTGAATCCAGGCAAAGTTTGCCTATTTGCCTTTATTCAGATAAGCTTAGATCTTTTGTATGTCTTCATAGTACAAACCACAAACCACTGTTAATATGCCTTTCAATCCTCAACAGAACTCTTGTGGAGCGGCTATCTTTTTTCAAAATATCCCAGAACAGCCTTGGGTAATTCAAATTGCACTCTGCTGGTTCCCTGATACCATACTGAAGTGGTAAATGACCAGCAGAGCTAGCAAGCAGCCCTGAATTTTAGTGCCTTTGCTCTAAGTTTGCAACAGTGGGGGTTTTGTTGGATCTTAAATAGCTGTTATCAGTGGATTTTTAGTCCATTTCCCCCGTATCTGCTCATGGCATTATACGGAAAATTCCTTTGCTTCTCCCTCTCGCTTCTGTTATCCAGGCCATCAAGATTAAATGAGCAATTCCAGACCATGGGAGTGACGCATTCCACAGACAGCTATAATTTTGGATTCACCCAGAAAATGAAGGTAGAGTTAAGAATTACTCATTAAACAGTACTTAATACTGAGAGTGCATTACACCTGCAACCACTGTGAGACAGCTGCCTAGCTTGAGAAACAGAAGGCAGCTTTGATCTGTAAGTGCTGCAAGAGCCACGGGATTCAGCTACAGACAGTCCCTTCCTTGATCCGGGAAACCAGCATCTGGCGAGCTTTTCGGGGAGGCTCCCACACCAATCTTTTCTTAGCTAGATTCCCGAGAAAGGAATGGTTTAAGACTATAAGGAGGACTTATGAGTAACTCAATTATTATGGGTAGTTCTCATTACAGTTGTGTTTTTCTGTATATAGCTGTGCCAGCACCCTTCCAGAAACTTAAGCCAAAAAAAACCCACCTTTTCAGATTGGGTTTCTTAATTCTTACTACACAAAACATACAACAAGCTCCATCAGAATATTAATCAAAGTAAATACCCACTGAACATGAAATCCTGAAACAACTGTTTAAGCCAAACACTAGGGAAACTTGTATCTGACTTTCACAAGGTGTCATTACAAGCCTCTGGGATTCCTAATGTCAGATACAGAACATGCTGAACTAAACCTTTGTTCCAGGACACCATCACCACCCCTCTGCTCAAAGTTGCAATGGGATAACTTTATGCCAATAGGTTTTAACACCAGGTCAGGTATCACCTATCCTTCCATAGCCAGCATAAAGCCAAAAAAAACCTGTGCAATGTGTTCTAGTTGATCTGACAGATACAACCACATGCCTACATCTGATACCTATCAAATACATTTTGCCGGCTGATCCGGTAGAGCTCAGCTTCATCTGCAATGGCAACAGAGCTGCAGCTAAAACTGCACTGATAAAATTCTGTGCAATCCAGACATTCGGCTTTTTCACACATTCTTCACATCCAGTCTTCCTATTTTTTCCTGCAATTCTTGCCCTCTGGCCAGTTGGCTGGTAAACACCCTCTCAGCACCATGTTGCCATGCTTTTACAGCAGAAATCCCTCAAAGACTGTTTTCTGGTTTCTTATTTAAGAAGATTCACCCCCCCCTTTTTTTTTTTAGAAGCCCAAAACCTCTTCTAGAACTATAAATAAACAAAAAAGTATACTTAAGAGGATCTTCTGGGGGACAGGAAACTGATAACTAGTTCTTCCAGAAAACCGCTTATTCAATGGCAGTACCACCAAAACATCATCAGACTCCTTACTGATCACTACAAAGAGCATTCATTCTCCCCTTTCTCACAATGCAGCAAAGTACAGTCTTCAAGCAGTTCAACAATTACATAGAGTAAAGCATTCACCCATGAAATCCAGAGAAAAAAATGCTTGTTCCAAGCACAGCTCTTCCTAAGAAACACCTAACAACTACTGAGAAGAGAAGGCTGGCGGAAGACTTCACCTTGATACCACTCTAGATTCTCTTTTTTTATGTCGTGGTTGGTTAATTTTAAGTTGATCAATTACAATTTTTTCTTCTCAGCTCTCAAGATGTTTTTTGTTACTTCCTTTTCCCTTCTGTTGCATCTTTTTAGAGGTATGGCTTCCTTTGCCAGTAAACCCAGTTCTCATACCTGCTGCTGAAGTGGGTTATCAATGATTTCTTGATGGCCTTGCTGTGCTTAAAGCAGTTCTGAATTCCAACTAGCATGTTTCTCATTTTGCAGTCCTTCTGGAGCCCTAAAAGAGCCTGCAAATCCCAGCCATGACTCTGTAATGCTTTACATTCAGTTCCCAATGATTCTGTTTTTAGCTCTTACAGGGGCAAACATTTTAATTAAAGTTGAAACACAGCACTATGTCTCCCTATGCTTGCCATGGAAAACATTCTAGTCATTGCTGGTCAACAGTGTGTTATCTGTTTAGGGTTTTTTCCCCAAAGCTGGGCAGAAATTACAAAACAAAACCTTGCACAAAAACTAAACCAAGATCTTTTACTTCCTAAACAGCACAAACATACTCTATTTGACTATTCTGCAGTTCTCAAACTCTTCTAAAGCTGGGCTTACTTTTAGAAACACATACATACAACATTTAAGGACTCCCATTTTCTGTATTTTCAAATGGTTTTTAAATTGCAAAATACCATGCTCTCATTGTATACTCTTAACACACAATACTCCTTAGTGGACTCCTTAGTCTGAATTGACAAATTCACCTCTGTGCTATCCTTTTCTCTCTTTCCAGAACTAACTTAATAATTGCTAAACCAAACATTTCACAAGCATTTTTCTACTTAAAAAAAAACAAAACAAACTATAATGTCTATCAATAAAAGCTAAATTCTTATTTCATTTGTCTGTTAAACCAAATAGGAAGATCTTGTACACACATTACACACCAGAACCTAGTCCTAAATGAAATGCTAACGCTTTGGTGGAGGCAGATCTTGTACTGCACGTCAACTCCACAAAAAAAAAAAAAAAAAACACCAAAAAAACTGTCACCCTTTGTAGTTCTTACTAATTCCTTTGTTTTAACTCCTGTATTCTCACCTCTCTTCTGTCCAGAGATTTACTTTCTGCTGTGCAGTCTGAGCAGTATAGGAAAGTCTGTCACTGCCATGCTGATGCTGCCTTTCTGGAGAGAGCTGCTGTCGCAACAGCTCTAACTCACGTTCATACATCAGCCGCTGCTCCTCAAGAGCACTCCGTTTCTCTTCCAAGTACTGTTTCTCCAAGATCTGGACCACGTTTTGCACTGGGTCTAAAAAGAAAAAAGAAAAAAGGGGGGGGGGGGGGGGGGGGGGGGGTGAAGAGAGAGAGAGAGAGGACAAAAAACAGAAGTGAGAAAATGCTATTTCAGCATCACAGAACACTCATTATTTATTAGATAACAGCAATCAACATATCCCAGACTCTGCAAACACAAGATGGCCACTGCCCCCCAAAACAAAAGGCAAAATAATAAGTATTGCATTAAATAAATCCAAACGAGAAAAAAAATAGAGCATGCAAAGGGGCTAGAACAGTGGTTAAAACCCTCATCTACTGCATACGTCAATACTGTGAAGTTGTAGTATGTTCCAGAATCCCAGTAGGGGGGAAAAAAAAGACTATATGGAAAAGGGGACAAATTAATAAAAAGCAAATAAACCAAAACACAAAGGAAGATGATGTTAATCAGAGAAGGAAATTACTTAAGGAAGTAAAAGGCAATTTACTTTCTCCATTTTGGTAGAAAATGAAACATGTTCAAGAGCTGCAGATGAAAACCGAGACAAACAAATTATCTGACTAGTCACACACTACATTGCACCAATGTGCTTCACAGCACCGAAGCAGATAAAGTACATTCTGGAGGGGGCTTCTGCAGTTAGCTTTACAAACTACATTTCGTCTCAGTATCAACCCAGAATAAATATCCGTTTGGATATTATATCCTTAAACAACAACTGCTTGTGTCAATCAGCTATGGTTAAACCTCAAAGAATGTTAAAAAAACATTTGTGTCTGTTTCTTTTCTCAGACAGAAACTGTGTCTATTCCTGGTTTTGGGTCCAATGCCAGACTGTGCCTCTGGAAGAGAAATTCAACGGAATAAGCTGTTCCTATACACTACCAGTATATATCTGCTTCGCATATACACATCGGAAAGCTTAAATACAGCAAAAAAGTGATTTGCAAAAGGACCAGTCTAGATGAATATCTGAGTGACAGCACATCACCTAACACATTGCTGAGTCTGTACATCAGAAAGGGAAGGGAAAGGAGTTCCATAGTTGGAGCGGTGGATTATCAGGGGGAAGCAATACTGCAGCTCCAGGACATACCAGGATTTTCAAATTCAAAAATCTTCAGCTTTAAAATAATTGTTTATGATACCTCTTCCATTTTGCAAATATAAAAAAAAAAAGAGCTGTTGTGATTTCTAAGGATGTCAATCTGTCACACAAGGAAGGAGAAAAATAAACCCAGATTTCATTACGCTGTCCCACTTTGGAACTAGAGGTATGCTTCTGAAAAAACTAAACAAAACAAAAAACCAAAAAACACGTCGGTGTGATTTAGTTACGAACCATCTTGCCTTCACTACCAAAACCCAGTCCTTGTAAGATTTTGTACAAGTTCTCCTGACACTGCAATGCTACATGGAATAAAATTCAGGTTACTATAGCATGCAATAGAGGATTCACATGAAAGGTTCTGTAGGGTTTTTATCACTAGTAGTGTATGTTGGTCAACATGTATGTTGGTCACCATAACATGTACATACACTCTCCCTAAAAGCACATCCCCTGTATCTTCACAAACCAATGTAGCATTACTATATTTAGTAATTGATAACAACTTAGTACTGAAACTACTGAAACTAATTTTGCTGAAGATAAAATCACAGACAGTGAGTTAGTTTAACATACATGGCCACTGAGGCAAGTCACTTGATAAAAGAAATCCTTCCTATTATAAATGCCAGAGAAGGAAACAGGATCTCCAGGGTTCTGTTGTTACAATGGGTTTGTATTTGCCTTTCAGCATCCTTTTTTGAAATATTAAGACTGATGTAAAGCACATCTTTATTTTTAGCAGAAAACACACACTCCTACAAGTTGCTACTGCCGCCCTGGCCTTATCCGTGGAAGAAATCACTGGCTTCACACAAAGGCATCATAAAATACCATCACAATGGTAATTATAAAGCACAAAGGTAAAAATCAGTCAGTATAAATGGCAACCAAATAGCAAAACAGTGATGCATAAAAGTGTCTTAAAATAACCAGAAATATTACTTTTTAGTACAAGACATTCTCAGAAAGACAGTTAGCTATTTTTAGCTTTTAGACAGACAGTGCAACAAAAACAACTGACTGAACCAAGTTCTAATATTCTAGACTAGAAACCAAGTTATTAATGTTGATCTGCATCATCATTATCCTGCTAACTCCTCCAGATAATACCAGAATTACCTTCACATGCATAGGTTTTACTCCATAAACCCTAGAACAGTTTTAGTTATGTGTAAGAATCGTTGAGAAATCAGGTATTACGCAGAAGACAAAGAGGAGGCATGGAAGAAATTAAAAGCCCTCTATTGTGTTTGCAAACACAGGAAATGAATCTAAGGCTGACTCATTAAGACAAGACTTTCCTAAACTGCTCAAAGACCAGCTCCAAGCTCAGGGAGCAGATTTCCTTAATAAAAGTGATCTTTTCAGCCACCTAGATTTACAGGATCACAACCACCACAGGATCAAATTATACCATGGAAAATATTTGGAACAAGATGCAAGAAACTAGTCTAAAAATTTTCAATTTCAACAAAATCCACTACTATTTGGGAAAGAAAAAAGGCAAGTTATGCTTGTATTGAAACGCAAAAGGTAAATTTCCACTTTTCTAAAAGTTTTCAATTTAACTTTTGAAAGAGTTTACACAGAAAACCCTGAGCCCTTCGCAGTGAAAAAGCAAGATATGGTGTGAGTTATAAATCATCCAGTTAGAAGATGAACAAACAGTCAGGTTTTTCACAATTGAAAGAACTACAATAGTGTTTAAGTTAGATTTAAACACCATGTTCCAAAATTTTTGATTTCTCATGCAAAGTCAAATTAATTAGGGAAGATTTTACCGAGTGCTTGCCAAACACACAGCAAATTCCATACAGTGTTAAAAGTCCCAAGTCCCAATCCTTCACATATTTATGTGACAAGTTCAATGGCCCTGAAAAAACCATTCATATGCAGTTAATCCTCTGCAAAACGTTAGAATATTAACAATGAACCAGAAGAATGTACTTTCTCCATAGGATGAACATAATTTATTACCTTGCTGCAACATCACAATTCACATCTGGAACCTGTTAATTCAGTAACAACAATGCTGAATAAATTTCCTTAAGATTTCACGTAGGTGCATTTTTCTAAACAAGCTAGAAGAATGTTATGACACAGGCTGCTTTACTAAGTTTCATCAAAAACCACACCCTGAGCTGTAACAGCTTTGTTTGCTTAAATGAGAAGCTGGGTAACCTAATCACATTGTTTACTTAACCACTGCACTGTATACAAGAATAAAGTAAACTTCTTTGCTGCATTTTGTGTTTGACCAGCATCACAAATTAGCAATACAAAGCTGATCTGACAGAATCCCACAAAGAAAGAGAACATGCTGAAGGGAGGAAAAAATCTGAATGTTTTCTTTACAGCTGTTTTCAAAGTTACACATTTTCCTCAGAGCTCCTCTGGAGCCAGATGCAGTATGCGACACTGTTGTACTGGTTACATGCGATAAAAACAAACGTGTTGGCACCCTGGAGAAGCTAGGCTATTTATTTAAAGAGGGTTACTGTTCTCAAATAGGTCAAGGGTGAAAAAACCCCAAAACAAAGGAAAATCAAAAACTTTTGCTTCGGGCTATATCAAGCCACTGATGTGAAAGAAAAATCACAAACTCATACATGCCTATAAAATAATAACATTTTTAAGATACTTCTTTATTCCCCCCCCGGCTTCTCCAGAGAATATGGATAATAGAATTAAACGTGTTAAGTTATTTAGTTATTTTTTTCTTAGTCATATTCATTTTTCATTTTAAGGAAGAATAAATAAATGTTATTGCAACAAAGCTGCTTTACAAAAAACTGGAAGCCTGTCAGAAAAAAATGTATTTTATCTGTACCAATGAGAAGAATAGAATCTGGAAGTACTACCGGGCCTCAAATCAAAAGACCAGCCTATGATCCTCACAGTCACTTGTTTTGTCAGGGTTTTATTATCACTTACTACTCCAACTTAGTTAAGCAATACCTATGTGGGAGGGAGCAGAAGAGACAAGAGGCAGAATAATTGGGTTATGATGCCTCTGAAACTCTTAACATTTGCTGTGCATTAGGGAGGAGAGAACTCAAGCGGAACAGCAAGGTCTGTAACTGTTCTTGAGCGAAGACACACAAAACAACTGACCAAGACAAAAATTAGGCTGGACCACAATCAAAAAAGCCTACTGAACTAAAATGTAAAGACACTTGTGAGGAATCATTTCCATCAGCTAGATAACACCACATGAAAACTAAAAAATGTGACCCTCCCTTCAAAGAACACTGACTCATTGTAGACTGGTACAGTTTAGTCAAATCCCTGGTTAGTGACAAGCAGATCAAGCATCAATTAATGCTTTCAAATTTCTCCAGCAGTCTCATGCATGAGCTAATCGAGTTCAAAACCTTTGTCCCAGTTTTGGCACAGATATGGGATGGTTTGAGGCCTTAAGACAGGCAACAGAATCTTCACAAGGGATGACAACACTGAAGACCACCAGGATGGCAGATTCATCTGAAATTCGTCTCCTGGTATGAGTGAACCATAATGAGAATATTTCTATTATCAAACAGTAATTCACATCAACTTAAATGACGAGACCCTGTAATTCACTCACACAAGAAATTCCATTAAAATCAAACTGTAAAAAAACCTGCAAACTATTGCTAGAGCATCAAGCATACAAAACCATCATGCTGCACTCAACAACAAAACAGAGCAACTTAAGGATAAAAAGGAGACCAAGAAAAAAGTAAATACTGTATTTCAACAAGTAAACCACAGCAAACAATGAAAATACTGCGAAGAACAGAGAACAGAAAGCAATGAAACACCATCTACTGTGTCTTCTCGGTTAGTGACCAAAAATCAAGGTATTTGCCACTCAGATTTTGTGTATTAAAAAACCTGTACAAAGCATTCAGTAGTTTACCAAGTTTTTCAGTATTTCTTCATACCATACTATATATCATGTGAACTATGACTTGCCTTCTGGAAACCATGAAAACACCATACTGTTTTGTATATACCATACCATTGTTTTATATATACTGTATTTTATTATACTGTCCAAAAAAAGGTATCACAATAAGTTTTAACAAAGATTAAATAAAATATTGAGAGTGATCAAGCATTAAAAACCATGCTAGCTGACATCTGACTATTCATTTGTTATCATTTCAGTGTTTTTCTACTAAAGTTAAAATGATGTTGGTAATATTTGATACAAAAGGAAGGATGAAACTAACTGAGCCATATCTGGAGCACCCTTTTGTCTGCAGTAACTTGCAAAAGCAAGAGGTTAATAGGACTTAGATGATGATTTGACATTTGATTACAACTCAGCTGCACTATAAAGGACAGCAGATGTACAGATAAAATTGTGTTTCAGGGCACAAACCAACTACTGATTTGTGTGTATGTCTGTATTTATACCTAGCTGCATGTATATATTATATAGATTTTATATATATGCCTAACATTGTTTCTGTAGAGTATGTTTTTCTGAAAATGCTCCAAAGGCCCCATGAGCAAGTGTACAACTTGCTTTACCCAGAATTTAAGTTCCATGCTGAATTTGTTAGACAATCCAAAAGAACCAGTTGCCTTACCATTACTATTCAGTGTCTTCATAATAACTTCCATTTGTGCAAACTCATAGCTGTAGTCTGGTTCTGAAGAAGCTTCACTAGCTGCATCCAGATCATGTTCTCCTAACGAAGTTTCTTTCTCAAGGTCTTTCAGCCAGTCTCGTCGTTTCCTCTTTGGTAAATTGATTCTGTGTAAAAATTGAAATTAATTTTCTAAAAAGTTTATACAGAACAGTGGAAGAAAATAAAAAAGTAGGCTGAATGTAAAGAGGCTGGAATGTAAGTATCAACTATTACCTAAAAAAGTGGTTGTTTCCCCATAATATTCTATCCCCATGCCATAACTGAGTGACAGAACATACCAGCGCACCATTTACACAGGACCTGAAAGAAAAAAATGCAACTTCTGTGAAATCCTAAAAATAAAAAGGTTGAAAAGTGACTACAAGATCTACTGCATCTCCCATCGACAGACAGTGATTTGTATCATGTGATGCACAAATCAGCTAGGCTCTCACTAAAGAATCAACAGGAAAGTTACTGGTCTTATTTCTACCATCAGAATTAAACACAAAGCACCTTTCCCCTCCAGATTTGGCTGACACAACTCTTTAGTAAACACACAGACAAGGCTGCTTTTAGTTGCATAGTTTTCTTTAAATGCGCATTTCTCAAACTGGGTTACTGCCTGTTTCTTATAAACAGTCTGCAAACTGAGTTGCATGCAAATCCTACTGACAAAACTCTCCCAAGATATAAGTCAGTCAACACACAGTTGTCGGCATTCAAGCGTAAGAAAAGACCCTTAGATCCAAGTTTCATTCTTTCAACAAATGGAGTCTCTATTATTAACAAGGGTCTATTTTTATGAACATCTGGTATACTGTTACATTTGCATTTAGGTTTTTTGTATTAAAGTTTCAATCACAAAATGCGAAAAATGGAACTGTTGAACTTTTGCATATGTGAGTCACAAAGCAGAACATTTTATTTGAAAGGTAAAAAAGTTAAATAAAATGAAAAAAGCCTTTTCAGATGCAGTGTTCTGAATTCAGCTGTCTCTCTCAAGTAAGTCAATAGAAGAAATTCTGGTAACTAAATTTCTGTTGTCACTAGTATCTTAAGAACAGCTACTTAAGCACTGCAGATCAGGCACGAGTAAAACATATATTTGTTTTTTCCACTGACATGTGCCTTTGTTCTTGCCAGTCAAAATGACTGATTTCTAGTACAGTAACTCTATCACCACAAGCCTGAATCCCATCTGTTTGAAATTTTGTACTGTAGACTGCAGAAGAAAAATGCACACGCTAAGAGGTATTTTACTGAAGGCAGAATGAAAGAGGTTGGATTTTTTAACAGGTGTGTATCAAACTTCTGTTTCTCATTCTACTAATAATCTATACATTATTTAGATATTCAGATTTCAGTCAAGCAGCATGACTATTAACTAGGACAAAGGTCCTGCTTATCACATGTCATTGGAGTTGAAGCGACAAAGACATTTACAACCCTAACCAAGAAGCCACAGTGCTCCCAAAATGAAAAATAATTAAAATACAGAAGTAGAAACAAAAGGAGAAGCATGACTTCACACTGCACATTTACTAGACACAACAGTAATTAAAGATTTAGGAAAGAATTTGAAGACCTCCAGATCTTTAAAACACCTTTCTCACAAAACACTGAGCTTTACAATAGGAACTACTCACAAGGCACAGTTTATCCTCCCCCATCAAGACACAGCCTACCACCCCATGGCATAGGTCAGGATAGCCAGCAGCGTCTCAGTGATCCTGTTACCACCCAATATACAGACAAGCAATGGTCCCTCATTCTTACTCATTACCTTCTTGCGATGGTTTATTCTGAGCCAAACCACTGACAGCCTGTGATGCTGCAGAGTGCGTGGGTGGGTGGATGTGTATACGTGTGGGGAAATGTTAGTTTCTAAGTCACCTATATTGAAGCTACTCATTAATCAGAGTGTAAGACACTTCTGACTATGTAAAATAAAAATGCATGCAAGTTATCTTCTGGTAAAGAAAAGCAAACACTTCACTGGAAAGTGCTGCTGATCTTCCTTACCTTGCATTTTCTTTTGGTGTGAGTGTAACTTCTCCATCTAAAGCAATATCAATCTCACAGTGTTCTGGTTGGATTCCTATACCAAAGAGCTGTATATCCTGAGAGGTATCTGCACCAACTCTTGTGTGATCCTAGAAAATAAGCTGTTACTAAGAGACAAGCAAGCTATCACTGTTCATGTAACTAAGAAAATATTAGCTAAAGCACTGAGACTGCACAATCTATGTACTCTCCTTTGCTAAGCACTTCTATAGAGCAGAAATGGTGCCACAGCAGATTTGAAGACTGTAAAGGTCACACACAAACCGTTCTTCTGCTCTGCACTTTATCTTGATACAGTTCTAGATAAAGCAAAATAAAGCAGCTGACACACACACATTCTCATTTAAAAATATTTTCAGACTATGCTTGCATACAAGCAATAAATGCAAATACCAAAGAAAACCAGCCATGTCATATAGGCATATATACCAGAGGACAACATGGATAATAAAACAAGGTGCACGGAGTTGGCTGCTTTTTGGGAAACAGCTATATAGCAACTCAACTAAACATACTAATCTCTACATAATTTCAAGTCATACTGTAAATTCTGCTGAAATGCTTTGCTGTTGTTAGAGACGCTGTGCTTTATTTGCTACTGTTCAAATACAGAACCCCCATTTCAACCACTAAAGCAGAAAAGTAGCTATAAAAATAGACAGGATAGTCTTTCATATCTTATTGACAAGGAGCTCACATTTCCTTACAAACTTATTAGGTTTGTATTTGACAGAATTTCAGTCTGACATGAGACTATGCTAAACAGAATGGTATGAAAGCTAGTGACAGTAGGGAAATACATTTCTGTAAATTTTTGACAGCACTTTTCCCCCCCCCTTCCTCTTTTTCTTAATCTTTTCTGTCATTGAAGACTATGTTTACTCTTACTGATTACTAATACATATTATCTCTTTATGATTAACTCGTTGAGTATTTAAAGCAATCCTCAGTTCACTAACAAAAAGAAGCATCTAACACAAGGCGCTCACTTCAAGTTCAGCTCAAAAGGCAATTCTGTTCACACCCTGTCTGGAAAAGCTAGAATTTATCTCAACACTGACACACACTGAGCACTTCTCCCACTGTTGGCAATCAGGAGATCAATTAGGAAAAAATGAAGCTGAACTGCAAATGGAGAACAAAAGCCTAAACAGTAGGAGGAAGCCTATCCTATTTTGCTGCAACTCATCTTAAAAATCTAAACACACTCTGAATAACAAATGGAGCTAGAAATTCAAAACAATAAACAAGTGTCCTTTTGTTTTGTGTAAACACCCTGTTCACATTCTTACCTTTAAATAGTAAACCAAAAGCTCATTGAGTGCAGGATCTGCATTCAGGTTCACCAGGTAACACTTGTCATCACCAACCTTGATACCTGAAGACTCAAGGGAAATTCCCATGCTCTCTAGCTGTCTTTGCCTCTCCTGCAAGTACAAAAATAGGTTAATCTTGCCTGCTGCAATATGTATAAAGAATATCCAGAAACAAGGGGAAAAGACAAAAATCCACAGGAATTCTAAATAGCTGGTGGGGAAGACAGCACAGTCCACTAAAGCTCATGAAATTCAGCTGACTTGCACTAGATGAGTATCTGGCCTTCCCTCCTCAAAATTTCTGAAATACCTGTGCAATTTCTTCTGTTTTCCTTAGCTTTTCTTCCCAGGTGACTGTTAGCTCTTTTATTAGTTTTTCAGATTCTTCCAATTTTTCCTTCAGTTCTGGTGCCTTCATGGCCTAAGAGACAGAAATTACCAAAAACCTTCAGCTACTCTTCCCACTGCAATCTCTGCTTGCACAAGGAAACTGAACACAAGCAACATAATATGAAATGCAACAACTATAGGCTTCAACTATATCCCCAGGTTTTTCATGCCAGAAGATGAAGAAACAGGTGACTTGCAAAGGAAGAGGGCAGTATCAACCTATAATGGGTCCAGATCTGAAATAGCTGAAGATTGACATAGCTCCAGAGGCTAATGGTACCACCAAAATCTCCGAGACTGGCCACTCAAGCTTAAGTGCCTGTATAAAAATATCTGAATATTTAAAAACTTAAGTCTTGGATGTCTGAAGTTCAACTGTGAAGTCATTCTTCCAACAGTAGTTTCAAATACAAATTCCTCTCGATATTTAGCCTTCCATTCTATCTCGATTTCATAAGTGTTCCTAGAGTCGCATTAAAGCTTTCAGACTGACCCTGTTGATTACCTTCGGAGGAAGGCATGCTCTGGAGCTAATGCAGGCTTCTCATTTCACAATAGGAAACAAAAGCAAAGGACTCGAATACGTCCAGTGCCAAGTAACAATTTAACAGGCTGGCCTATAACTCTATATAACTGTTTTTAACAGAAGATATGACAAAAAACTTTTTTAAAAAATTAGTAATACTTTGGACACCTTCCTACTGTTTGTGTTCAGCCACAGTCCACCAACATAATTAAGAACATGCTACAGTAATATTTTCTGATTTAAAATATGGCATTAGAACAGATTTTTATTTACAAAGTGAATGGCTCCTTTTTCTTAAAGCAGATTTTCCTATTTCAGCCTGTAAGGAGCTGTTCATACAAGGCACACTATTCCTTAAATGAACATGAAGTTTAAACACTGCACAAATTTACCCTCAGACACACTTCTGTTCTTTTTCCACCAGTATGTTGTGTCTTGCCTGAAAAGATAAAAAAAATATTTTCCTACAGTGCAGTGCCTAATTTCTCCAGCTATCACCAAGTAAACCATTCTACCCGATACTTTATGCTCCAAGTATAAGTATAAATCCCAGATAAGCAGCAATCACACAGTGTTAACTGTTAGGCAGTAAAGCAAATTGCTGACAGTTTCAGTGTTGCAGTTTTGACAACTTTGTATAGATTTTCACAAGTGTCAAGGATACATTGTGGTCCAATACCAAATTTACGGCTTTTCACACTTGTCCATTTGACATCATAAAATCATATAGTCCAACAATGCAAAAAAAAAAAATTCTGCTAATAAGTTTACAGAATGTAGTTGTACCCTAGCTCTTATCTGTGCTGCATCAATTACTGCTTGACATAAAATTCTTCAAGAACAGTCTCTTATTCAGTCTATTCTGACAAGGATCACCATCAGTACAATGTTGTCCTCATTTAAAAGCTATTAAAAAATAAGCAAACATTATGTAGGACTTATTTCAGGAAACAAGGTTAATTATTGTCCTGGTTTCATCTGGCATAGAGTTAATTTTCTTCACAGAAGCTAGTGTACAGCTATGTTTTGGATTTGGAGAAACTGTTGATAACGTACTGATGTTTTGGGTTGTTGTTATTTAAAAAAAAAAAAAAAAAAAGGCACAAGACACTTCGTTTCCTCATTTTGTAACACTTAAAAAGAAAGCCAGTCTTCCAGCCAGAGTTTGACATTTCTTTGGGAAACTCTGTTTACATTGTACTGTGAATACTGTTACCTCAGCTTGCGAGAGCTGTTCTTTCAGTTTTTCCACTTCTTCACGTAACTCTCTAATGACCCTAGCATTTGGATCTTCATTCACCACAGCATGATTAACTATCCTTTTGGCTCTGTCGGCATATCTCAGAGTAGAGAGTGTTTCTTCATAGTTGTCTGCTGCTGGACTAATTGTGGCTATCATGGCAGTTTGGCTGTTTCCTCCCAAGTTGTCCTGCAGAATGCATCCAGAGAAAGTTTGAGGGTTAAAAATTTTTCTAGGACTATACCAATGTCTTTACAAAGACAATTAAAATACAAAGCTTACTATTTAGTCACTGAAAGGTACTCTGGATATAAACTAACCAGTATGATCCATAAACATTTCCAGCCACCTCCACCAGCTTTGATTCCACTATGACTGAAAATAGACAAATAGGACTTTACATAGAATTAACATGAGATAGCTGTCCATATTACTTGGAACAATGAGCTCCTTAGCTCATTTCTTTAAAAAAAAAAAATTTAAGTCCATGTACACAGAGGTAAGCTACAACGATCCTACGAACTATTAAGCTGACATCTTGTGAACAGGATGAACGGAAAGTATTAATTACCTTGAGAAGCCAAGTGAGTACAGAATCTCTGTAAGGCACAAACTTGTTTTTCCCCTTCCCTGCCGCTTGGTCAGCGAGTGATGATATAACCAAGCCCAGCGTTGAAAGTGATCTATAAAAGCAACACAGCAGAACAGCTTTAACACATATTCAAAATGTAGATGTAATAAAACAGAGAAAAGAGGATTTCCTAAAGAGTTTAATTTATGGTCTGCAGAACTTCACATCTGATTTTTAAAATATCGGAATAATTTAAGTTGGAAATCACCAGTGGAGATCAGCTAGCCCGTATTTATTGAAGTTACATATTTGGAAGAAAGAAATGGTTATCTACAGGGCTTCATCTCAACTGATACTACTATCAAGTTTCAGGAAGACTAAATTGAAATATTCGGGTATTTAAAATAATTTGAAAAGTGCAAAGCAGTCTCCTTCAGTACATGGAGAATCACTGCCTTTGATTAGGTATCCATCTTGTGTCAGAGACTAAAAATCTATCTTAGACACTGCCTCATGACACTGCTACGAGTCAGTGCTGGCAGCACACCAAGAATCCCCTGTCTTTAGAAGCAACGTTTTAAGAGCACTGGCTCAACAACAGACTAAAACCAAACAATTCTTTAGCCATAAGGAGGCATCCTCAAGACAAAGCCAGCTACGGTCCAGAAGAGCTAGTCTGCCGGGTGAACCAGTAACTAATCAGCTGTCACACAACAATGGAAGACTGCTCATCAGAAGAGACTGATTAGGAGGTCCCTTGACAAATGGGTTCATTTATAACTGAGGTGGAGCCTCACTAGCTTCTTGTGGGGGGAACAGATCAAACAATCTCTCAGTTATAAAAGTGTTGCACAAGCATGAAAGAGAAAAGCCCCCAAACTGCCTAGCAGCCAGCCACATCCCAAGCACCACTCGAGAATCATGAAGAAAATAACCGACAACTCGTTCATTTTGGTACATGTACCACTTTTACCAACAGGGGTAACTGTGTTAGCGATCTCTGCAAAGCATATGTGCACTATATTATCCAGTTGTTATATAAGCCTGTGTAAATTTTAAGTGACATCGGGGCTCTTCGGGGGAGTATGTTTAAGGTAATGAGCTGGTTCAGGAGCCTGGGAACATTAAACAGATGCCTAAAGGGTTTTAAAACAGACAGTGATGAAGCCCAAGAGCATACTGGTCCGTCATACTCATGCCCAATTATCCAGCTACTCTTTATAACTACCAAGGAAAACTTCAGCAGTGTTGCAATTAGTCAAATAAATCATTAATTGTACTGTTCCACTCCATCTTTTTGAGCTTTCTTTTCCAAGAAGTACTACTATTTCAGTTGATAGGCAGTGTTTGCACAATATTTGTAAGAGGGCCCTAGTGCTGCTTGAAACTACCAGTAGTTCAGAAATAACATTTAGAAAATGACAAAAATGTTGCAGAAGAGTATTTCAATAACACGTGAGGGTAAGGTAACAAGAACCATTACATGTGTCACAAAAGGTGTCCCATGTTGAATAGAGCACCAAGTGGTATGAAGATATAGCATAGACCTGAACGCAAAATTAAAAGAAAAAGAAATTTAAGGAGAGACTAGGCAATCTGATCTCCCAAGAAAGTACTCAGTTTTGTAAATTTATCTATAGGACAACTTCCCAATTCACCTCTGAAAAAGGTGCAGTAAAAAGGACAGTAATTTTTAGTTTGTGACCTAAACAAAAGCCTAACAACCTCTGAAAGTTTGTGGGGGGAGGACGGGGAAGGGAGAATTGGTTCTTGCCTCCCATCTCTGGTCTTCACAGATGGAGATGACAGCGTGCTAAAGATGTGAGAACAAACAGTAAGATGCTGTATCCTGCTCTGTAGCTACCTCCTACAGCACAGCTGAAAAGCATACTCCCAATGGAGTCCACCTTCAAGAAGCATAAAGTTAAAAAAAAAAAAATCACCCTGGCCCACTTTCCTCTGATTCCTCTTTCCCTCTCTAAATGACGGAAAACGTGAAAACCAAAGCCAAAAACTGAGGGAAGGGGAAGAAAAGGACAGTCAGAAGGGAGATAGGAAAAACAGGGATTCAAAAAGGCCTATCACCGAAAACTATTTCACAACAGGGCTGCAACACCAATTTGAGTTATGGGTGCTGCATTTTAATAAACAGGAAATTATAAGCTACAGTTTATTAACACAGGATTAAAAGATGTGATAATATTTCTGCTCCTCATAAATAGCGATTTTATTTTAAGACTAACTGTTAACATCTGCAATAAAAGCCAAACTGGAGTCATTTATGTATTCTGCTTGAGACTTTGTAACACAAAGCTGTTTAAAGACTTTAAGGAAAGCAGTAAAAGAAACGGCTGCCCAACAAAGTAATTACAGGACTCATGGGCTGCTTTGCTTCGTGCTAAATGATGCATCAGAGATCCGTCATTACTTTGATCCTATCTCACACTACTTACACAATGAATCAAGCAGAAGGCCTAAGCCCGTAGCGCGCGGCAGACCGAGGCAGTTCAGAAGCAGCAGAGTGAACTTCCGTGCTGCAAGAGCATAAGAAAGTGCCATTTCTGCACATTTTCTGTTCTCCCTGTCCCTATTCCTCAGGTACCACCAGTCTGCCCTTGCTCGTGGGTGGCGGGAAGCTCACACACTCCCACTGTGAGCCTGAGCCAGGGGCGTTGGAAGGGAATCGGTGCTTCTTCACCTCAGGGAACAACTCTGTGCCTAAACGACACCCGTTCAAGATACTTCTGTACAAGTTACAACCAAATTCTTCAATGAGCAGAATTCACCTTTCTATTAGTTACCTCTGAATACAAAAACCCTCCCTAAAATCAGCTTGGAGCCAGATCTGTCCCAACCCATTTCTCCTCCACCCCCCTTACATTTTAAAAGCAGCTTCTTGCATTCTGAAGTTAAAACGACAACAGCTATGATTTTACTAATCAGAGATAAAATTGCAAACTGCTCACAGAAAGTATTTTTCTTAGCCACTAATTGACAGCTTTTTATTCCGCTTCCTCCTACTATTGTTTTCTAGAAATTCTTTGACTACACCACACAGAGTTGTTCAGCACCTCATTTTCTACACTCAGTATAGGAACCAGCACATCTTGGGGAGGAATGGGCACATCCAGCTTTCTTATGAGATCTGGTTAAGTCCCCTGAAAACGTCAATAATAAGGAGAGCAGACACTCAGCACCTTCACCAAGGCAACTCTGCATCAGCGCTGAGAAAAAGCAGAAGTATCCTTCTTATGACTTTATGGAGCCGTTAACAAAATGACACAACTCCCCATTGCTTCAGTAAGCGAGAGCGCAATCCATCGCCTCCCCTCTGCAACATGC